CTGAATACAGCAGGACAATCTCCTCTTTTGACCAGCTGGCTGTGCTGGGTTTGATGTACCCCAGGGTGAGGTTTGCCCTCTTGGCTGCCAGGGCACACTGATGACTCCTGTTGAGCCTGCTGTTGATGAGCGCCCCCAGACCCCTTTCTGCAGCGCTGCTCTCCAGGCCCTCCCCTCCCAGCGCCTGGTGTTACTCAATCCCAGGTGCAGAATCCAGCATTTGTTCTTGTTAAATTTTATGCCATTGATGATTGCCCAATGCTCCAGCCTATCTAGATCCCTCTGCAAGGCCTCCTGTCTCTCAAGAAAGTCAACAGATACCTCCCAGCTTGGTATCATCAGCAAACTTGCTAATGGTGCGTTCAACTCCTGCATCTAGATCACTGGTGAATCTATGGAACAGAACTGGCCCTAGGATTGAGCCCTGAAGAATACCACTGGTGACCAGCCAGCCAGAGGTAGCCCCATTCACTACAACCCTTTCAGCTCTGACCTTCAGCCATTTCTTCACCCAGTGTGCCATGAACTCACTTGTCCCACAGCTGCACAGTGCAGAAGGATTTTGTGAGGGACAGTATCAAAAGCCTTACTAAAATCCAGAAAAACTACATCCACTGCCTGCCCTTCATCCACAAGCTGGGTGATCTTATCGCAGAAGGATATCAAATTAGTTAAACAGGACTTTCCCTTTCTGAACCCATGTTGACTGTGCCCGATGATTGTGTTGTTCTTTAAATGCCTTTCAATAGTACCCAGTATGATCTTTTCCATAATTTTTCCAGGAACTGGGGTTAGACTAACAGGTCTATAGTTCCCTGGGTCTTCCCTCTTGCCCTTCTTATAAATTGGGATAACATTGGCTAGCTTCCAGTGATCGAGGGGGGTCCTGCCATAACATTAGCTAGCTCCTTCAGTACTCTGGGATGAATCCCACCAGCCCCCATGGACTTGTGAACATTCAGCTGATACAGCTGCTACCTTACAACTTCAGTGTCCACAAATGGGAAGTCACTGTTCCCACACTCATGGTCTTCTGACTCCAGGGACTGGGCAGCCCAAGGTCTATCTGTATTACTAAAGACTGGGGCAAAAAAAGCATTGAAGGCCTCAGCTTTTTCTTCATCTCTGTTAGTCAGGTGACCATCTTCAATAAGTATTGGTCTGATGTTTTCTTTAGACCTCTCTTGCTATTAATGTACTTCAAAAAAGCCCTCCTTGTTGTCTGGCTGGTTTCAACTAATTGAACTTTGGCCTGTTGTTGTCTTCTCCCTGCATGTATGAACCACAGCTCTGTAATCTTCCTGCGAAGCCTGACCTTGCTTCCAGAGATCGTACAATTTTTTTTGTCTTGAGCTCCATGAGCAGTTCCCTGTTCAGCCAAGCTGGTCTTCTGCCCTGCTTGCTTGACTTTTGACACAGTGGAATTACCTGCTTCTGTGCTTTTGTGTAATGGAGAATTCAGTTTTAATTTTGTGGAATTTTAATGAGGAGACAAAAAGGTGCTTAAAACCCGTTTAATTCTCTCAGGCAATAATATCAAGCATTTTGATTTGTATAACTGCTTAGCAGCCTTGATGTTTAGTCAGATCTTGAATATTTTGACTTGTCATCTAAGCCTTTTGTAGTCCATAGGTGTCAAAACAGCTATTTTTTTTTTGACTATTAATTTTCGGGGGTCTTAAACTGTTAACAAATTTAACTGTTAGCATGGCAGAGTTTGGACTATAATTTGATTACAATTTGTGTAATTGTGTTTCTTTTCTTGCAGGAAACACGGCATTACATGACTGTGCGGAATCTGGCAGTCTGGAGATCATGAAGATGCTTCTCGAGTATTGTGCTAAAATGGAAAAGGATGGTTATGGAATGACTCCCCTTCTGTCAGCTAGTGTGACAGGCCACACAAATATCGTGGACTTTCTGACCCAGCATGCACAGACCAGTAAGGCTGAGCGCATAAATGCCTTGGAACTTCTAGGAGCAACATTTGTGGACAAGAAGAGAGATCTGCTTGGTGCTTTGAAATACTGGAAGCGAGCTATGGAAATGAGATACAGCGATAGGACTAATATCTTGAGCAAACCTGTGCCACAAACACTAATTATGGCATATGATTATGCTAAAGAGGTAAACAGCTCAGAAGAGCTAGAAAATCTTATTGCAGACCCTGATGAAATGAGAATGCAAGCACTATTAATTAGAGAACGCATTCTTGGCCCTTCTCACCCAGATACGTCCTACTATATTAGATACAGAGGTGCTGTCTATGCTGACTCTGGAAACTTCAAGCGTTGCATCAACTTATGGAAATATGCTTTGGACATGCAGCAGAGCAATCTTGATCCACTGAGTCCTATGACAGCCAGCAGTTTACTATCATTTGCTGAACTGTTCTCCTTCATGCTGCAGGATAGGGCAAAAGGCCTGCTAGGCACTACTGTCACATTTGATGATCTCATGGGTATACTGTGCAAAAGTGTTCTTGAAATAGAACGGGCCATGAAGCAAACCCAGTGTCCTCCTGAGCCAATACAGCTCAACAAAGCCCTTTCTATCATTTTGCATTTAATTTGCTTGTTGGAGAAAGTACCTTGCAGCTCAGAACAGGAGCATTTTAAGAAAGAGACTATTTACAAGTTTCTTAAGCTTCAGCCTAGAGGGAAGAATAACTTCAGTCCACTTCACCTTGCTGTTGACAATAATACTACGTGTGTGGGTCGCTACCCAGTTTGTAAATTCCCATCTCTACAAGTTACTGCTATCCTGGTGGAATGTGGTGCTGATGTAAATGTCAGAGACTGTGATAACAACAGTCCATTACACATTGCTGCACTGAACAACCATCCAGACATCATGAATCTTCTTATCAAGTCAGGTTCACACTTTGATGCCACAAACTCACATAAACAAACTGCTAGTGATTTGCTGGATGAGAAAGAAATGGCAAAAAATTTAATCCAGCCCATAAATCATACTACGTTGCAGTGTCTTGCTGCTCGTGTAATAGTGGATCATAACATATACTACATAGGGCACATCCCTGAAAAACTAGAGAACTTTGTTTTACTCCATAGATAATAGTGTGGAGTCCTGGAGTGCGGTTTTTGAAGCACGACTTGGTGATGATATTTTCCTCGGGCACTGTTGTGATTCACCAGCGTTCCTTTAGCTTACTCCATCTTGCTGTCATTGGCTAAAGTGTTGTTAGCATCAGATGTGCAGAGTGGGTTACATAGTATTTAATATGAATATGCCATATAATATATTTTGTGGATTATTTAGAAATTTAATGCCATATTTAGACTTCTAAAATTGTCTGCCAAAGGCTTGTCTATTCTGGTTTTATTTGCCTGTTGGGTGTTTGGGACTGAGTTGAGTATTTTCCACTGATGTCTTTTTACTATAACTGTTATGTGGATTTTATACTGTTGGAAAGTCATCTTTTTTTGGTTTTGCTTGAGCATTTCTACTCTTACTATATTCTTTTTCTATGGACTCATTGCGAAACTGTACAAGTTGTATGGACTTGTTAACATTTGCAACTACCATAAGTGCTTTTATCTTCTCTATGCACTGGCTTAAACATGACTGTTGTGTGTGAGCATATTTCTATGCAGCACTTGTCCAATTTCAACTTAAATGCCAATTTTGTTTTGCAGTTTGTTTGGAGCTCTTTCAAGAATGCCGTCGTCTTAGCATGATGACTTGGAGTTACTTATCAGCTCTCCAAACCTGGGTTTGACTTTTTTGACTGCTGCAACGGAGGTTGCTTCTGTTTTGATTCTCTGGAAATCTGTCCTAAATTTGGGAGAAGAAAATCTCCCTTTTTCTGATCGTAGTCTGGTTGAACTTTAAATCTGAAAGTCATTTTATTGCATCGTGCAGTTAGGGGAAGAGTCCTTCTGTACAACTGACACCTTCCCCTTCACACTATTGTCTTGCTTGTGCTGGTTATGTGACTAGATGTGAAGTTTGCTCAAATTTTAACCTCAAACGTAATGATACACTTTAATGAGAACTGGATCAAATGTATACTGTAGTTTAAAATTTACAAATCAACTTTAGCTACAAAAGAAACTAAAGCATGTTGGTGGCATGATGCTTATCAGTCCAGATCTAGACATCATCTAATATAGTAAGTGGCTGTATGCCAGGATATTGGAAGTTCTATTAGCAGTGTCCTTTTTTCTTCATTTTAAATATCTTTATAAATACTTGCATGGATTTTTCATCTCTACTATGTCAGCTGTACTTAAGAAAAAGCCGAAGTTCTGTTGTGTATATAGCTCCTAATTAAAGTACCTATTTTTATAATATTTGCACAACAGCTTAGCTTTGACAACAGAAAGGGCTCTTTTGACTTGATAAGAAATCCATAAATGAAGATCATAAATGTGAGTGCGATTCAGGTAATTAATATAATTCAGCACTTTACTGTTGATGAATAGTAGAATTTATTATGGCACACTAGCCCTGCAAATGTCTTAAAGTGAAATTCATTTCTGTTGGATAGAATACAGTTTACTTGCGAGTTTAGTAGTCTAGTATATTGGATGTTTTGATGTTCCATTTCAGTGGTGGGCAGTAAGTGTAGCTGTGGGGTTCTTGCTCCAGAAAGCCAACAAGTTGATTTAGGCCTTTGTCAGTGCTTGAGAGATTTGGAAGCCAAATCAAGTAGGTAAAGTTGCTTTAGGAGGGTCTTCTTTTTTTAAGTTGATGTCAGAACATTTCTTGTTATTTGTGAATTAAGTTGAGGAAGAATGTGTTTTGGGAGCATATAAGAATAGTTCTTCCTTGCTTTTGGGCTGTTTTGGTGTTCCTGTTAGTGTACGGTGTGGTGCCTACTACCTTAGCCATTCTTGGAAAAAATATGGGGATGTTTTTAAACACAAGTGTGTTGAAAGCAGTGCTGTTCATGTATTGCCACTTTCAGACTCTGTATTTTGAAGCAGCTTTCACCTGATTGTCCTATGCTGTGTCTATATTGTACAAAACTGTGAGAATGAGGAAACCCTGTTAGTTTCTCATGCAAATACAGAGACATAAAATTCTGTTCAATTGGCTGAATTTCTCTGATTTGTAATGATTAAAAGACATGCCACTCACATAATTTGTGAGATTGTATAGTTTGATTTTTAATTTTTAAATGCTTTTCTACTACTCTGTAAGTAGGGATAATCAACAAATCACACCATGATAGAAATGATCCACATTATACTTCAAGTCATAAAGATAATTCTTTTTAGTGGTTTTAGTTTAAATTGCTGCCTTTGTAACTGTCAAATATCCTGTTTAGAATTAGTTGGACTTTATTAGTCCAGAAATATAATCTAAAAATTGTTAATTGTTAGCAAATTTTTGAGTGGAAAACACTCCCAAAAGAGAAAGCATATCACTATGAAGTATATGTAAATCCAATGGAAATTGCTGCAAGGAAGGCTTAGCTACTCTTTAAAAACAAACCAATTTAATAGTACATACTGATTTATTGTATGTATTTCTGTCTAAGTATCTACCAATGTGCATCAGTCTTAAAGACTATCACCTCCATGCAGAATGTAATTTTTCATGGTTATGAGGCTATCTGCTGAACTCTTACCGTGCCAGATACTTGGACTTAGATGTCCAGTGGATGAGTTAACGCATTTAATACCACTTTCCATTTGCCCCTGTGTGTTACATTACCCTGTTTGATTCTTCTTAATTTTAAAACAAATTGGTTCAGAGCCTGTGCTGGGTAATGTGTTAGGGATTAGTTCAGGATTTGCTGATTGTCAGAGAGGGTTGGGACAGCAGGCTGTGTCTGAGGTGCATGTGCCACTAAGGCCAGTGCTAATGGGTAGTACCACTTTTGCCCCCTTGGCCCCTGATTCAAACCAGTTTTGTCTCCAGTATAGATACCAACTTTCTGGACCAGATATTTTTTAATTCTTGCTCTTGTTACTAGTCAGATGTGGGAATAAGTTTATTTTAGTGAAACATATTGATCTAAATGCTAGTCGTGTTTCTAGCTGGACTCAAGCTGTGGTAAGGACAAGGAACTAAGGAGCATTCAAACACAAAGAATTGTTTTATTCTTGACATTCTTAACTCATTCTCTTCCTGTTCTTGTTTCTTTCTATTTGGGCTTTTTTTTCTGATCAAATGTACTGCTTCCACTGTATTGATGCGGAAAAATGTTGAGAACACTGAGAAAAAAATTGTATGCCTTGCAGGGTGAAACAGGTTTTACAGTTGATTAAACAATTTACAGGTATGGCTTTCTAGAAACAGACACTGATACCTCTTTGCTTGCTGAGACCCCTGAAATTGTATTTTTCTGGGGTAGGGGATAAATGCTTAAAGCAGTTTTTCTTCTAATCATCTTGGGTTTCAACTGAAATACTTCAACCAGGAGGATTAAGAGTATTCTCTGTTAAAAAAAAAAAGCTTTTCTTAACAAATTCTAAAATTGTATTCCTATTTTTGTATCACTTATGCTGGTAACAAGATTCCAGCTGTCTGTGGTGTCTCTGTTCTGTTGTTAAGTGCAGTATAAAGACACTTTCTGAAACACAAGGCAACAGTGTGGTTAGTTTTCCATATATATTTTACAACAGTCCCTGGATAGGAAGTAATTTTGTGTTTCCTAAGTCCCCAAAGCGGTCTCTTTTAACAACTGTTTTGCAGCTGGTTAAAATGAACATCTTTCCATTTTTACAAAACACTACTTTAAAAAAGGAGTAGAGTGCTATAGCAGAATCCTTACAGGAGGATTTATACAAAGATAAAAACCTTATGAGGAATAAATGTGCCTCTCCTCAGTTTTGTATCAACTGCAAGCTGACAGTGGCAGGGTAAGACCGCTCTTGAAACAGGTTCCCTATGCTTAGAAGTATAGAGTGGATACCTGTTACACTTGAAGATGTTGACAAACGTAAGTGGACTAAACACTAATTTCTATCTTCTGTGACTACAGTGAAGTCAACTGGTATTTAATGCTTCAAAGTAATTTTGGGGAAATCGATGGGAGACATACTAAACTGCTGGTATATCTTGGCTCAGATCTGAGTGCAAAAGTAACTGTTGAGCCCTCAGTGAGGGCAGAATGAAAAGCTGTTGTTGGTTTGGTTTTTAACTAACATTGTATTTGTGTTCCATTCAATCACAAAGACTTCCTATGCAGGGCTAGCTACATATATGGAAATACTGCAGGTTTTTTTACGTGAAGTAATTTAGCTTTAAGAGTAATGTAAAAAAGGAGTAACAAGCATATTTCTCTGCTCTTACTCTGTTTAGGCTCCAAATGCAAGTTACATTAAAAATATGTTTTGGAGAACACCTGTCTGAGTCTATATATCTGTTTTCTTTAAGGTTATTGCAATACTGGTTGGTAAGCCACTTTGTTGAGTATGAATAGTTAAATGTGGATGCTGCAGCTCTAGACTTTGATCTTCATGTCATTAAGAATTGTACCTTAAACAAAATGTCATGTTTCATTTTCTTTCTGTGAAATGGTGGTCCAGCCAAGCCTTTAAATTCTGGTAGTGGGTAGGGAATATCAAAGAACAGGCTTAAACTGGATGATACAGGAGACATTATTTTCCCAGTTTCTAGAAATGCAGTTAGTAGTGCTATTAACGCAGTGAAAACATAGTAGTTTTATTTTATAGCATAAAAGTAGTTAGCAAGACCTTGTAAGAAATAAGCAACAGACACTTTCTCAAGAAAGCTGCACAAATTAATTTTCTCCTTAAAGCTTTTGAAGTGTCTTCCCTGTTGCATGGACAATTTTAAAAAATAGAGGAATAGAATACTCAAAGGGTGAAAGAAAAAGTATAAGATCCTTATGGAAGGCAGCTAGAGAATGGAAGACTTCGAAGAACATGGTTATTGTAATTTCAAAAGGTCTTTATAGTTAGGCACAGTAGTCACAATCCTGTACTTAAAGGCAGCGTACACTTCAGCTGAAATTTTTGATTTAGGCCTGATAAGTAACAAACAGCATCAAAAAAGATGAGGTTCTGGATGAGGAAAACTGACCCAGAGCTTTCACAGTAAGATAATTGCCACACAGATGGTTTTAAAGAATTGAGAATAGATTATCTTAATTAGGAAAGGGAAGAACTAGAAACATCATTATTCATCCCTCTGCAGTTGCAGTTGGTGAAAGATGTTTTTGTCTAGAAGTGCCTGCTGGTTACCTGAGCTGTATACCCATGCAAAAATGCTTCTTGGCAGTAGGAAATACTGGCTGTCAGTTGAAGACCAAAGCTCACTGTACAAAGTAGTGCAGGAAGAGGGCAAAAGAGGCCAAGGGTATGTTACTCTGGCAAAGGCAATAGAGATCCGTTTGTTTCCCACGTAACATTCAGAGGGCCATATACCATTCCCACTGAAAAGCAGAAAGCTCTTCCCCTCCTTGCCTTACTTTGCAGCTGATCTCCAACATGTAAAAAAGTTGAGGAGAGAGTTTCTATGCTCAGATGTTATGGATAACGATGCTGAATTATGCACAAAGCAAGAAAAAGAATTGCTCTCTGATCCCTATAAGTGCCTGTCAGAAGCCAGTGAGTGTGGGGCTATGATGTAAATGGGAACCACATTTTCCATCAGATTGTGAGACATGTGGGTTTCTATCTGAAGTTCAAAGGGTTGCTTCTATTATGCCTCCTGAAGATTTATCAAGTTGTAAGTTCCTTGCTAAGTTTCTCTTTGGAAAGCTATTTGGAACTCCAGGCCTTCAATGTTTAGGAACTTAATTGCCATTTGATTTTTTTTTTGTATGTTTGATCTTCTCATAGTTTCAGTGCTTGTCTGTCCTTCAGACATAGTTATCCTCTCAGCCTTCATGTGGTTAGACTAAACCAAATAAAAAAACCCTGAGCTGTAAGGATGAGCAAAGAACAGAATAACCCAGAGTTGAGTAAGCTCAGTTCAGTTCTCCCTTTTCCCTTCCCTTGCTTGTTTAAAAAAAAAAAAATTCACTGACACACTAAACACTTTTTGCTTCTGAACCTGCAATTTAACTTGCCAATTCTTTCCTTGTTACAATGGAAGGGGTATTTTACAGTAAAGAGTCAATTGTTTTGTTATATGCCATTGTGTTCTATTCACACACAGCATTATCCTAACTGGAAAGTGAGGCAAAATGTTCAGTGGATGAGCCAAACTTGGATTATTTTTTATTTCTGTCCCATAGTTTCAGAATAGTAAACTTGTTTTCTCTACTTTTCATTTGCTGGCCTGTGAGACAGAGTCCCCCTAAGCTGCCTCTGCTCTTCCTCTGTTTTTCTGGCTTTGCTGGTTGAGGGAAATACATCACCTTCTTTACAC